CCCATAAAACCCTATAACCACCGTTTTCATAGGAAAACATGCAGGGCGTAGGAATTAATGAGTGGACCTACATAAGCTTTTGTTGCCAAAATTTCAGCTCAGCAGGATTTCCGGCTGGTTCTCCTACAAAAGTCCGCTTTTGCTAGGCCGATTTGCGATCTTTTCAAAAGATAGTAATAGTGAAATTTTAGTTCACATGGTAAACATAAAACGCCAACCTACAGATGTTTTATTTTTTATACAACAGTTTTAATAGAGTTATGAAAGGCCGATGGAACGACGAACGCTCGATTTTTTTATTTGGATTGCCCTCCAGACTGCCAAATGCCAGTATTTAGGTTAAATTGACTTTACGAAAACTTACTGCCCCCACTTGCTGTAGTTGGAACTCAGGCCTTAAGTTCTTTTATGCAAGGAAATAAGGGGAAATTTTGTTAAGTTTGATCATGTCTGATTCAACTGACCTAGACAGCCGATTGGCCCGTGTTTCTCAGGGATTAAGTGCATAGATTAAACGCTTGCCACTATGATCTCCAGGCCTGGTTCGTTGTGATATGAGGAGAAGAAGTAAGAGGCTAAAGTGAAGGGAAAGGTTTATTCTGTACAGAAAGAATGGATCGCATGTCCAGCCGTGAAGGGACGCTGATCCAAACGTGGGCAGTCATCGCAGTGAAGTGCTTTGTGAGTCGGCCTTCAAAGTGATTGGCCAGACTGCGGGGGGAGAGGCAAACCAGTCGAGACTTACAATCACGTGACCTCGCGCGTTGCGTACGTGAGGGGTCACTACACGTGGCCTTTATCAACTACCGACTGCTGAATTAATCGATAGACACGCAGGATCCAACGCGACGCTCGCAAAATGGTAGACAGTGCTAAAGTTCGACAAGGCCAGCAGCCGGAACGCTGGTTTTTCTCTAAAACCTGACTGTATTTAGAAACAGGATTGATGGAAATTCTTCGTGTATTGTAGCAAACCCTGCCTGAGGCATGCAGGCGAACATTCGACGTGGCTACAGAGCCCCGAGCCGACGACCTATACAATTTTCTTTGCATGTTGAACAACCTTCTGCGACCGGCTCAGGGAAAAATCGACTACAAGGCACGGATAGCCCCCAACCGCGCCTTCTATCAGGGGATGTGTTTGGCCCGAGGCAGAGGCCTAAAAAGCCGATCCAACCCCGCCAAACTAAGTCCAGTCACAGCGGAATCTTCCGTCGTCTCTGGTCATGCTTACCAGTCAAGAACAGTCAACGTGATAAACTGCGACAAAGGCGTACTGCGGAGATCATAGCACGCAGTCGGCTACGAGAGAGTCGATTTTACTTTGGCGACAAGAGTACAGAGACCGAAGTCAAGTCTTTTGATACGAAAGCCTGTCAAACCCTGGACTGGTATGGACAGCCCTTCGACCGTCTGGCAGTTGGTTACACAAATGTGAATTCCTGTCAGCCGCATAGGTTTAACAACCTGGACGATGGGAACGCGAGACGAGCGATGACCGAGAATCCGAAGATCGCGGTGGAAGAGGCTAGTGCGGGGATTGGCGCACAAAGGTCGTTTTATCGAAATGTCAGAGCAGCGCAGCCCTCACTGCACTATGACTATAACGATGTCTTTGCTGATGAGGATGGTTACGCTGAGGATGAATGCGTGGAAGGAGGTGAAGGCTATTTTATACAGACCCCGGCGCTGGCAGACGGGCGCCTCTACAGGAATGCAGATGCTCGTGGTCAGGGCTATGAAAATGTTGATGAAGATGAAGAAGGAGAGGAGGAAGAAGCGAGAGGAGATGAAGAGGTTCAGCGTTCGGATTTCCGTCGACTTTATTCGCCACGTGAGTTCCAGGATTACTTCTCATATGACGACCCTGCAGAAAGATCAAACTACCTGAGGACTAGGGTCCTGAACGAAAAAATGTTTCGTTACGACAGCTGGGGGACGCCGGCCACACAGGCGACTGTTCGTCCCGTAAACGCCGGATTGGGACGAAGGTTTTTAACTACTGATAATTGTCCCCTGCCTCCGACACAGCTGTCGCCCTTCGTGTCCGACAGACAGAAGCCTATACCTCTGACTCCAACGAATGCAAGCTATTGCAGCAGAGGAAATTTGCATTTCCCAACGGTGCAACCTAGGAACTATCGCCAGGCTTATGTGCCTGCAAGAAGGCTTCCCGTGCCATCCGAGCGGTTTAATGGAAGATGCCTTCTCTCGCATCGGGGGGCCTGGTAAACCTCTGCTTTTCTCCCTTGTCTTCGTACAGCGCCTATTTTGTTATCTCAAAAATAACACATTAGTCCATCGCTTTCCTTTATTCACCTGCTTTTTAGTTTTTGAAGATTACAATGATTTTGCTATGACCCAGCCACTTTTTTTCACTCAAATACTACCGTCCACAGGGAGCTAATGGTTCGAAGCGGAGTAGGGGTGACGAGGTGATTTCGAGCGGATGACCTTTCTAGGGGTAAGAACCATTATTTATTC